CAATAGCATTTGGGAATTCTGAGCATCCCTGGTTGCATTTCTTAATCTCACATTTCTTCATTTCAATTAGCTTGTGATATGTATGCTCTAGGATCCTTGCTCCATGCACAAAATATACACCCAAAAAATGGGCAAAATCATCTCCTATTCAACCCCAAAAAATAGAAAGAAAAAAAATTAATAAAGAACTTCGTACATCAAGTATTTCGAATTTATCACTCTAAAGCAAAGAAGAAATCTTCATGTTTTGAACTGAAGTGTGTGGTAATCTAATGAGGTTTACATATTATAAATATAATATTTTTTCAGTTATAACTAAGACACTACAACACAAAAATAAATTAAATAAATAAAAAATATTATTTAACCTTGGTCAAAATGGTTATCAAATATCCAAATTATTTTCTATACTGTTTTATCATGTTAAACTAAAATAGAAAAATACTTTTTTTGAGATTAAAAATAGTTTTAATTTTGTTTTTTTCTCCCGAAAACACTTGATAAATCTATAATAGAAATTACCATATTTCCATATTAACAGTAAAGTAAAATTAAATTGAAATCAAGTTAGTATTATGGTGAAACTGTGTGTTGCTAAAGTGAGGGAGTGAAGATATACTTGAAATTGTTTACAAAATTATTAGTGATACACAATCATCTAATGAATATGATTGATTTTTTAATTTTATTTTCTTTTTTACCCAAAAGATTTAACTTTTTCTTAAATTTAAAATTTACATGGATGGTAGTTCTTTCTCGTCTATCATACTCACCATTCACAATTTTTTTTTGACAAAGTATACTCTAATTAGAATCAAAATCCAAGAAACATAGTTGAACTTGAATCGGCACAAAACAAGTTATACTGGTTTTAGATTAATCCAGAATAAGGGTGAAAGCCGAGCCGAGCCGCTAGCTCGGCTAATGAATTATTTTAAATCGGCTCGCCCAAAGACGAGCCAGCTCGACTACAGTGTCGAGCCAAGTTCAAACAACGGGGCTACTTGGCTCGTGAAGCTCACGAGCTTGAGCCAGCTCGTGGGTTTATTTGCAAGTTTTGAAAGTAATAGGGGACCATATGAAGTTGTGTTCTGTTTTAGTTTTCAAAAATTTCAAATCCACCCCTATATCAAATAAACTGAAATCAAAATTGATTCAATACACCCCTAATTCCTAAATCAAACTATAAACAAACCCTAACCCCATAAATCTCTCCCTGGTTGACTTTGTTCATCGCCGTTTTCCCTCTCCTCCGATGAATCATGCTTTAGCTTCTTCTTGTGACTCTCATCTCACTGTCTCAAACGCTCAGCCTCTCAATATCAACTAAGGTTTACTTGACAGCCTCTCAAAGTCTCAATCTCACTCTCAGTCTCAGTCTCAGTCTCAACCTCTTAGTGTCAATCTCGGCCTCTCAATCTAACTCTCATCAGTCTGGTAGTTCATAGGAGAAGTGGGAGATTGATTCATTTAAGTAGCTTCTAGGGTAAACGAGCTAGGTAGCTTGCTTCTTTGAAACTATAGACTATATATGTCAGTCTTGTGTACACTCACCCGACATGCCATTGTGCCTTTCTCATGTCCATCTCAACATGCCAAACTGAGTTATTGGGAGATTCATGTATGCCATGAGTCCATAATATGATAAATTTTGATGGGTTGATTACACATACGAGAGATTCATCAATTGTATGGATTTTGTTTTTTTTTTTTTATGGTCGGGGGTGTTTAGGTTAACTTACGCTTATTTCAACTAATCTCTCAGGATCTTGAAACAACCGATTGGATAAGAGCTTCAGTGGCCACCTCTATTAGCAACCGAGGAGAGACTCGAACTTAAGATCTCTTGAGTAATATACCCAAGAGTCACTATCAAACTATTCGACCACCTAGGGGTTAGTTAATGGTATAGATTTATGAGAGGTTGAAGATAATTTTTATAAGTTTTAGAGAGGTTTTTGACATAATATAAAATCTATGGTGTCTACTTGTAATTAAATGTTCATAAGTTTAGAATTTCAGTAATGTTAAATCCACAACCCAATCTTGCAACTTTCTCTTATAACCCCCAACATGGAGACTTCAAAATGGGTAGACAAGACCCATTTGCGAGTTATCATATTGAAGATTATAAGAAAAAATTGTGAGATTAGATTATGAACCTAACATTACTCTTAGAATTTTGTTGTACTTTGTCTCTACGCTTCAATTTTGGACAAAATGGTAAGGCTAATTTGCTTCCTGGTTCCTATTTTGTCTCTGTCATTCAAATAGAAACAAAAGCAGAAATAGACGTGAAATAAAAAATGGTAAAAAAATGAGCAATAATTGCCCAACAGTTGAAATTGGGCCAGGTGATGTTTGACAGCTATCAAATCTAGCAAATTTGGACAAAATTTGGGCCCAATTTGTTCATTAGTCTCTCTAAAGAAAATTACGTAAGAGATGATAGACCCTACCAATTTGTTGTGTGTTACTGTGTCATTTTGCTTCACTTGGCAATCAATTCTCCCACTTGATATGTTAGAAGCGACACAACCCTACCCAAAAATCATGATACAACTCATTTATTATATAATCGATCAGATCTAATCAAGTAGATATTGTTCGATTTTAGTTTTATGTTTTTTTTTTTCTTTCATAATTTCACTTTGCTTTGATGGGTGTGTTAGAAGAGACACAATCCCAACTCACAAATCATGATACAACTCATTTATCATGTAACAGATCAGGTCTAGCCAAGTAGATTTTGTTCGTTTTTGTTTTTTTTTTTTACCTTCGTAGTTTAACTTCTAGCCAATATGTTACTTCGATAGATATGTTAGAAAAGACACAAAACCAACACAAAAATCAGGATAAAACTCACTTACCGTGTAACTAATTAGGTCTAGTCGAAAAGGTTTTGTTCGTTTTTGGTTTTATCCTCGCTTTTTTTTTTTACCTTCATAGTTTAACTTCTAGCCAATATTTTACTTTGATGGATATATTAGAAGAGAGACAAAACCAACACAAAAATTAGGATAGAACTCACTTATAGTGTAACCGATCATATTAATCAAGTAAATATTGTTTATTTTGGTTTTATATTTGCTTTTTATCTTGCTTCGAACACAAGAATTGTTAAGAGCAAAATTTAGAGAAAAAAAAAAAGGTCGATTGCTGAATAGAGCACTAAATATGTTATTGATTTGTAAGGTTAAATGCAATTTTTGATACAGATCATAAAACTGTTCATGTAAGTTTATTTATAGACTCAATCGAGATTAATTTATTAGTTATATGAGATGTGAAAAATGGTCCCAAATAATGCCTTTTCTATCTTGCCTACATTATCCTTACGAAACATAATGTTTTGGTGGTTTCATTGTCTCAATAGCACTTTGTTCATATTTTAAATCAGAATTAGTACAAACATAAACAAATAATTGCCTTGTCTTTAGAAATATTATGACAAGTACTTCATCTTCAAACCACAAATGTCTTCAATCATTTACTAAAGAGCACTTACCTTCCCTGAGGTTTCTATAAACTTTTAGTTACATCCCTGTGGTATAAGAAACCATCAAGACCTCCCTTCATATTTGAATAAATTATCACTTATCTACCTTCATCTCCTTTCACTAACAGTCAACTTTAAGTCAAGGGGCAAACTTGTAATTGTAGATTTTTAACATAAAAATAGAATTAAAAAATAATTTAAAATTTCTGAAAATTTTAAAAAACATCTGGAAAATGAAAAATAAAATGATAGAAAAATTGAAATAAAATAGTTCTAAAACATTGAAACAAAAATATCTGAAAATTTAGAAATTTTCAAAATAAAAAAAATACAATAATTTGAAAATTTGAAATAAAAAATCTGAAAAAATAAAATAATACCAAAACATTAAAATAAAATAAATTCTGAAAAATTGAAATAAAAAGTATGAAAATCGAAAATTCTGAAAAATTAAAAAAGTAAAACTATGAAAAGAAAATCTAATAATTGAAAAAAAAAAAAAAAGACAAATTCAATAAAAATCCAAGACAATGTGAAAAAATAAAGTAATTTTCAAAAATTTAAATAATTGTTATATTTCTATATTTTTTTAGTCAACAATATTTGAGGGTATTTACGATTTTGAGAAAAATACCAAAAAAAAAAAATTGTTATGGTCAAATATGTAATACCAAATTAGATCACTATCCTACAAGGGCAAAATAGGTTTCTTTGCAACTTCAACTAACAATTTCCGTTAGAAAATGGTGGTAATGTGAAGGGATGTCTTTGATGGCTTCTTATACCACATGGGTATAACCACAATTTATGGAAACTTCAAGGGAGGTAAGTGATAATACTCCTTTAATAAATAACTATATCATAGTTATGTTGCCTCTTTCCATTATGTCGATCAAAAAGAAATAAAAATAGAACAAAAAACAAGAAATAAAAAATAAAAATGGAAGATTTCCGTCAGGCAACCCCATGTGAGGGGTGAAGCCAGAAATTTGCATAGCGTGTATAGTTAAGGTTAACAAATAAGGGTGTTAAGTTAAAGAAATAAAACTTTTAAGGACTAATAATAACATCTGGAAAGTTTTGGAAGACCTGCCTACTAGCTACCGGTTTAAGTTTTTTGCCCCATGGTTAGCGCTACTATCGGTTGAATAAGAGCTCTAGTGGTTACCCTTATTTGAGGTCGTGGGGACTCGAACTCGGGAGACCGTGATAGATCCTCCTTTTGCGCTTTTACTATCAAAGAGACTCGAACTTGAGAAAATATATTAGATTTTATTTTACTCTTTTACCATTAGGTCACCCAGTGGTGGTTAAGATGGTAAGCACTTGATCCTAACATGTTGTAAAATTATGTGAGAGCATGTGTATGCGAGTCGAAGAAAGAGAAGAAAAACAGATACACGTAATTGGATATTTCATTTACATATGACACAAGAATTTGTATATACATTATTGTGCTATTTTTAAAAACACAAACCTATGATATGAAAAAAAAAAAAAAAAAATGGAAGTATGAATCTATTATATTCCCTAGCAACAAAAAATTAGTAAACCTTAAAACAGTTTATCATAATCTTGAAAAAATCAACCCAAAATTTAAAAAGAAGAAAGAAACCTCACTAATATGTCAACAAACTGGTAAAGCCTCCCTAAATCCAATGCCAAAACCTCTATTCTGTTCACTATTCTTGTTCAAATCATTGTTGCCCTTTTGCATCATAGCCACAAATTCATTGTAATCTATTCGCCCGTCCTGGAAAACAAAATAAAATCATTTGATTATCCAACTAATACAAGACATTGTAGCAGAATCCTGAATTCATAAGAAAGAAATGCTTACATTATCTTGATCAACCTCTCGGATCATATCTTCTAGGCGAGTATCGTCCACTCCGAATTCCTGACAGGCTTGTTGAAGTTCATCTGGAGTGATGTAGCCACTGCCATCTTTGTCAAAATAAGAGAATGCTGCAAAGAGATGATCTTCCTGGTCGACTTTAGTTAAATGCAACGTTGCGGCGATGAATTCGCCATAATCAATTGTGCCACTGTTGTCAACATCAGCCTGCAAATTCAGCAGATTGATAGCAAAAGTTATAGAAACTATTTGATCACTTCAGTTTTTGTAGATAATAGTAATATGAAATCTAAAATTATACTTACAGCTTTCATTAGATTATGGATTTCAGACTCATCAAGATTAGCACCAAATCTTTTCAGTCCAATTTTGAGTTCCTCAAATGTGATTTGACCACTGTTGTCTGTGTCAATCATTTTGAACATTTCTTTAAGTCCAGCAATTTCTTCCTCTGAGAGGCTTTCTGCAATGACCTGCATTCCATAGAAATTAAGTCAATTCGGTTTTTCGCATTTATCCAATTTGAACATGAAACCGAAAAGATTTTGCATATGAGATTTGGCTTATGATATATGCAGAAACTTACTCTTAGAGCCATTTTCTTAAGCTTGTTCATAGCAGAAAACTGCTTCAAGCGCGTTAAGACTGCAGAATCAAGAGGCTTGTCAGGAGCAACTCCATTTTCCTGAACCCAAGGATGGCCTGCAGAGAATCAAAACAAACATTTCAGGGCCTAATAAATACTATCTGCCACATATAACCGATAAATTCGATTGTGCATTCGACAACCAAAATGCAGTAACAAAGAAGGTAAATCTGAGAAGAGTTTGCATTTCTGAAAAAAAATAAACTTTTCCTAATTCATTCCTGAGTGTTGAAAACTTGTCCTTAATGTCTCGATGGATATCACAGAAAGTGAACTGTAACTTACACAGAACTTCATGTGCTGTCAACCGCCTTTTGGGGTCTCTAACAAGCATTCTTCTGACTAAATCTTTTGCACCTTCAGAGATATTAGGCCAGGGATCTGATGTGAAGTCAAGTTCAGCATGCAGAACCTCTTCAAATATTTCGTGCTCGGTTTCTGGAAATCGGAGAAATCACAAGATGACCATTCAGTCATAACTGTTGAAAGTATGATCACAATATAATAAATAATTTCATCACACAATAGACATCTCAAAACTCTTACCTGCCCAAAATGGAGGTACACCAGATAACAGAATATAAATCATCACCCCAGCACTCCAAACATCTGCTTCTGGACCATAACGCTTGCGCAACACTTCAGGTGCAACGTAATATGGACTTCCAACCACATCGGTAAAAATATCCCCTGAAATTTAAGACCCTCAATATGAAATTGACATAACAATAACAAATGAACAGCACAGCATACAAATTTTAAACTCTTTCAGTCTATGCAAACAAGATTAACCAGTGCAGCCAACTGAGGGAACACATACAGCTCATGAAATCAATTAGAAATTTCTGACAATATTCAAATTTGCCAAACATTTCATAAACATAAACATGATCAAGTTGAAAGGTAAAAGTTTCAGAATGAATACATACCAGGCTTGAAGAATATTGATAATCCGAAGTCTATGGCCTTGAGAGGCGAATCCTCCTCCTCATTGACGAACAGGAAATTCTCAGGCTTAAGATCGCGATGCATAACCCCTAAAGAGTGGCAGGTTTCTACAAAACCAACTATAGTCCTAGCTAGTTGAGCTGCTTTTCTCTCTGTATAATGCCCCCTCTTAACAATCCTATCAAATAGCTCTCCACCTTCACACAACTCCATCACGACATGAACAGCCACAGGGTCCTCATAAGCCCCTTTGATTGTAACAGCACTAGAATGACCTGCTAAATGATGCATGATCTGAATTTCCCTCCTCACATCATCCACATCATCAGTTGTGATCAATTTCCTCTTGGCAATTGACTTGCAAGCATACTCTTTTCCTGTCCCTTTCTCCAGAACAAGAAAAGTTGTCCCAAATTGCCCGTGTCCTAGCTTGCGCCCCAAGCTATAGTACTCCTTCAAGTGACCCGTTTTTGTTTGCAGAACTGAATCTGTGCGAAGCCCTGCGCTTGCCATTCTCCTCACATTGTGAGGCCTCTTTGGTTTTGCAGGATCATCTTGCCTAGTCTCCTCATAACCATGCTTCTTTATTGAAGTCTTTTGCATAGATTTCCGATTCGCTTGCTTAACCTCTAAGTTAACATCTTTAACTATCTTCATTGGTGTTGGAGGCTTCTGTAAATCAAGACTATGGCCTTCAGGTTCTTTAGTCACAGGTTTTGCTCCAGTAGCGCCTTCTCCTCCTTTGTTGGTATGAGAAATCATATCACGCGTCGATTTCGACCACCAAATCGAGTTTGAAATTGATTGAGTAATACAATCCTTTGAAGGCCTTGCAACACAATGATTTCCCATCTAAAAACAATCAATTCTCCACACTCTCTATATTCTTTTTGACACTAAAACAAACAGCTTCAAGTCACACAATTACTACAACACCAACAACAAAAACAAAAACAACCCCATCTCTTATCTCCCAGAAGGGCCCCAAATTCTAAATCTACAACATTCAAATGAACCCTCTTTAAGCAATTTCTCACAAATGCATATAAAAAATATATATAAAAATTACACCCAAATGGGGGACAACTCTTCTTCCTCAAAAATCTTGGACACCTCAAATCATGCAAAGGCTCATATAAATAATATTGTCAAAAAAACCATTAATTTGACGGATTCTAAACCAAATTTAATGATTTAAAAGGCAGAAGCATCCAAGAAAAGAGGGGAAAATAATAAAAAATAAAAAAGGAAGAAGAAGAAGAAAAAAGTTTACCAAGTCTTGATGAGAGAGAGATTTTGAAGAGGATTTTGAGAAGATTTAAATCAAGAAGAAGGGATTTGTCTAGTTTTTGATTTGACGTTATTCATACTTTTTCATGCACACGAAAATGGTACGAAATACCGGTTTTTCTGTTGCTAACTTTCAATAAAAATAATTAAAAAACGCGTTACTAATTCTTTATTTATTTTATTTTTTATATATTTTTATTTATGAGTTGGTTGAAGCTGTGTGTGATGAGCCTGATTTACTGTTGCCGGCCAACGCCGGTTCTAACAAGAAAATTAAATATAAAACAATAAAATAAAATAAAAAATAGAAACAGATTTCTTGTAATTAAAGAATTTTTACGTAATTACATTGCTAGGATTTTACTTGAAAGGTTTTTTATTTTTATAAAAAGAAAAGTTACTGTAGTTATATTAAATAATTGAGTTTATTTATGAATAATCATGATATAATTTTTTTTTTTTAACAATTTACGATTATAATATATGCATAAAACTGTATAATAATGTTATTTTAACGTGATTTATAAAAGGATAATTATATTTAATGTCAAATTAAAATCTCCGAAACACATTACAAATATAATATTTTTTCAGTTATAACTAAGACACTACAACACAAAAATAAATTAAATAAATTAAAAATATTATTTAACCTTGGTCAAAATGGTTATCAAATATCCAAATTATTTTCTATACTGTTTTATCATGTTAAACTAAAATAGATAAATACTTTTTTCTGAGATTAAAAATAGTTTTAATTTTTTTTTTTTCTCCCGAAAAAACTTGATAAATCTATAATAGAAATTACTACATTAACAGTAAAGTAAAATTAAATTGAAAACTATTTTATAGATTATTTTTCATTAAAACCAAAAAAAAAAAACCGTCTTTATAAAATTATAAAAATAATTATTTGAATTAATAGTGAAGAAATTAATGGTTGACCAAAAATATTTATCTTATTATTACCAACAAGAAAACTGAATGGTATTCCCACTAGAGAGTTAAATGAAATACCTTTTGGACGCTAAAGTTTATCCAATTACAAGTTGGTCCAGTATAATTTGGAAACAACATTTAGGTTCTCATCAGACATCAGTGAACAAGGGTTTAATTTTTTTTTTTTTTTTATATAAATTTCTAAAACTCACAGTGAAAACTAATAGTATCATGAAAAATAAATAAAAAACTCTTAACCGCCCATTCTATTAAAAATTTTGAAAAACAATTAATTAAAAAAAAAAAACAAATTAACAAATCAGAAGTATTTTAGACTTATCCAAAAAAATTTCAAGCAGTCAATAACTAATAGAGCAATGCTATCGGTATCCCACCTTTATCTTATTAAACTCTGTAACCAATTTTTCTAAATACAATTTTATCATTTGATATAATCATCGAACAAGAAAAAATGAAGAAAAACAATATTGAGAAAATACACTAAATTCTATTTTTGTGTCTACTACTTAAAACGCTTGGACTCCAAATATAATATGTTACTATGTTATATGCATTTTTTGAAATTCTGTTATATTTTTAGCTATTAGTTCAAGCAACTAGCGGCGAGAATGTTTTAAGTATGATATTTAATTTTATTGTTTTATCCTTAATTTTGTTGTGTACAATTTTTTTAATTTTAACCTTTGAATATTGTACGAACGAATGTATGAATATTTAATAGTAAAAAAAGAGAATGATGTAAATGTGAAGATAAAAGAGTGGAAAAGGATATGATAATAAACGGTTATTTTGAAATTAAATGGGGTCCATATAAATTTTTAATGGGGTCTAATAAGATAAATATTAGAGGTGATAACATCACTCTAACAAATAACGATTTAAGTAATACTTTCAGATTTTACTGGATCTTACATAATTTCAAAAAACCTCAGGGACCAATATGTACTTAACTCTCCCACTAGCTGAAGAGTCATTTTCAGTTTCACAAGATTAATTGATATTGTCGACTTTAGTTTACTTTAATTTCTCTTTCACACAGCTGAACATTAACTCATAAATGGTCAACACGTTTTGGATTCAACATTTTTTTATTTTATTTATCACCAAAATCACAATTAAAATAAATTTAAGTTTTTATTATCCCAAATAATTAAAAAAAAAATCCTAAATAAAACATGAAATAATTAGGTTCTGTCAATTTATGCGTATCTCAATTAATCCTCTAGAACCCTAGAACTATCGACTATGTAAGAATTCCAGTGACTACTCCTATTAGCAAACGAAGAAAGATTCGAACTTAAGATCCTTGAGTAATATACTTAAAAGTTTTTTTCAAGCTACGCAGTCACCCAAAAGTAGTTTATTAGATTTATTATTATTACATAAAATTGAAACTTTATGAACGAGTCCAACGGCATAATCCTGATAATTACCTAAATTGTTATTATACATCGAATGAAAATAAATTTATAATTATTAATTTAACCCAAATATGAGTAATTGGGTTGACTAAGACAAATGATAATGACTAGGCTCCAAATTGAATAAAGCCGTAAGAAGAGTGAAGAAGGTGGGCAATTGAGGTGGTTACCCTGCTTTGAAGATAACTGTGATCTGGTCAGAGTGATGGAGAAATAGGCAAAGGTCGCCAATTGAAGACTTGAAGTGCACCACTAATTCACCACTTTCTTCAATCCCATTTCCCAATCATATCCAGTTTGAGGTCAAATTGTGTAACATGAGTTCATATGTATTTTCATGATAAATACTAACACCAAAAATAATAAAAGAAATAATATGATATTGACAGAGAGAGAAAAGTAATAGTACTGCTAATAGAGATAGTGTCAAGCTTTATTCTTTATAATTTTAGGATTTGAAGATTATTGAGATACGTTAAGTTGGTTCGAACCCCTCATCAATTAAAAAAAGAAAAACTTATAGTGCTTCAACCACAATAAGCTTTGACACCAATTATTGTTGCATGTCTCTAAATGAAGGATTTGAAACTTTTATAATCTCCAATAAAATTATATATTTAAGGTAGTGTTTATTTTTTTATCTGGAACTGAATACATATATTACTAAATCTACCAGAATATATAAATCTAGGGCATGTCTGTGTGTGTGTGTGGGTTTTTTTTTTTTTTTCACGTTTGATTACATGTTTGAAAATAATTTAATATTATCAAAACTGAGCAAATGTTATAATTTAAAGATAACTAATATGTTACTATATTGTTTAGATATATATTTAAAATTACATTATAGCAAAAACATTATTAAAAAAAAAACTAATAAAATCTTAAATTATGTAATGCACCTATATTTTGTTAAAATTATAATTATATACATTTGATAAGAGTATTATTGACAATAATAAAAAATACTGTTATTAAGATGTTTTTGTATTAAATTAAAGTCAAATATTTTAGTTTTTTTATATATTTAAAAGCAAAATAAATAAATAAACATGAAACATCTTATTTATTAAAATCAATACATTCATGTTAATAGAAAAAAAAATCCTCATAGTATCTCAAAATTATTATATCGAGCGATAACTAATGTTTAAAAAACGACTGAGAACAAACCTAGCAAGGTGGTCGGGTCCAAGTCGACTGGTTAACGGTTGAACCAGCTGGTTCAACCGATGTTCATCATGCTGACGTCAGCATGATGATGTCAGCAAAATTACTGTTCACAAAAGCTAATTTCCAAAATTTGGCTCCAAATCATAAACTCCAGAATAAAAAGTCTTTAGCAAAGCATCATCAAACATCATTACATCAATAATACAACAAATTAAAATAAAATAACAAAATGATGAAGAAAAATACATAATGTTGTTTAACTTTCAAGTAACACTTCAACATTCTAACAAAAAATGATCTTCACCTATGGTCTTCATCCATCATTCCATCCTCAATTAAAATTTCATTCGTACACCACCTGACAGATGATCGTCATCATTATAACATCGGACGATATCATCTGCAAAAAAATCTAGCTAAAAAGGAAAACCATAAGTTAAATCTTCCCATTTAAACTAATTGAATATAAACTAGTTAATACCAAATTGAAATTGCTTAAAAAATTGTAAACAACCTTCTGAAGCATTTGTTGAGTCATAATAAGAAGGGTGATCACCACATCTATAGGAATAGCTTTTCTCCATATAATGATTGTTCCAATTCATCAAAATTAAGCTCACCAACCTCCTCTTCCTCTATCAACTTATCACCCTTCAATTTCATCAAACTCTCTAATCAATAGTCATGACCATAAAGACATCAATGAAAATAACAAAATGAGAAGGCTTTATACCTATTTTGCAAACGCAATTATAATGAGTGAAAACCAAATCATTCAACTGTGGATGCTCCAATCGTTCCTCTTTTAGTATGGATGCATTCAAAACACTCCAATTTCGCTCACATCCGAAAAGGCCGAAGTTTGACTTAGAATTTTGATTGAAACTTTTACAAATTTGGAGCACTAAACCCAAATGTCCTTACCATTCATCTATTAAGAATAAAAGTATAAATTACATAAGAAATAAACACAATTTCATAACTTAAAAATTAGATTTAAAAAGTTAATAACTATTACATACCCTGCCATGTAGTTTTGCAAGTTTGAAGAGCAAGCTCACGAGAAAAGCTTTCTAGACGGTCTTGATATAATCTACTCTCCTCCAGTAACGTTGTCTTGCTCATTTTGAATGCACTTGCTTTATTGTCAATAGTGTCAAGGAAACCATACATGACCTCATGTTTTTTGGAAAAAGTATCTTCATCATATTTAAAAGCAGGATTCAAATAATATGCTGCTGTATGAATATCACGACGCAACATCCTATCCCAACGCATCTTAATAATTGTTGTATA